GCAGATATTTTGCTTTAGGCCGATGGGATACTGCTTCAGTTAGGCTACCTGCTGATTCATTTTTATCAGGTTTATTTCAACAGCTCAGAGAAGCTGGATGCTGAATTGAAAGGGTTAGATTACTAAGGTCTAGTTTGCCTTGACAGAACAGCCAGCAGGTGCTAATTTGATATTACATTTCTTTTTGAGTGACAAGTCATCTTTGGCATGGAGGATTTCCTTAGCATAAGACTGTCAGAAGGTTCACAAATCTACAGTCCTAGGTATACTGAAGGTCTGGTTATGGTTGAAATGGATTGAGTGCTTCTGATTTTGGATTGGACTCAACATTCCTGCAAACAGTATGTTTTGTACCTTCTACCTATGGGATTTATTTTCATTACTAAGAGAGGCAGGACATGCTAGCATAATACTCACTAAAAGCAAGAGATTTGTTCCTCCACTATGTGAATGATCCAGTATTAATTGAGTAGCTCAAGGTGGACTAAAATCAATCAGTTTGGGGTTGGTAAGAAGAGAGGGGGCTGATGGTATCAACTCTACTTTGGATGAAAAAGAAAGCAAAAGAAGAGAAATGAGTACCACTTGGCCTCTTTGATCTTAGAGCAAAGCGAAATCTCATTCTCTTAGACAGTCAATTAAATGCCCCTCTTCCCTGTTAGCTTACTGTGAACTTGAGGTTTTGGTTTTGAAAGTAACTAACAGCATAGGCCAGAAGTGGACCTAGTGGAAATATGACAGTTGCTGAGAAAGTGTCCTCAGAGTATGTCCTGCAAAATATCTTCTCTACTGGCATGTTCCCATTATTTATGAGTTGTACTTGCTTGTCCTCTGCAAAAGATCACTGTAGGAGAACCTCACTAATGCACACACTCCAGGCACACACACGCACACACTTGGTAGCTGTTCTCCCCTTACTAACCAGCAGACACTGATGCTGTGGTCCTGCATTCCTTGTGGATTCATACTTCCCAGAGAGAGGCAGACTTCAGTGGAATGGGCAAGAGAAGTTAATTTTTGGTTCTCTGATTTATGATTTCACATAATACAAGAACGAGAGTGTTTCAAAGAACAGCAACAAAATTAACCGGAAAAGGAATCATTTCAACAAGGTGGTAATTAACCTGAGGAACTCACTTCCACAGGATAGCACTGGGGACACCTAGCAATTAATAAGCTAGATCTTTAAGAGAATTATCTGCCACAATATATAATTTTTATATGGGGTAAAAAGTTAAGGCCATAAATTCTTGTGTCTTTAGGTTATAAGCAGATACATAGCTAATGAAGATTATAATAAATCTTCCCTCTTAGGCTTATTACTTTGTAATTATCCAACATGGGTCTTTCATCTTCATCCAAATCATCTGTAACTGGCCACGTGTCAGAGACACAATCCTGGGCGAGGTGGACCACAGGGCAGATCTGCTCTGGCTAATCCTACTTTTTCAATTGACTTCATCAGCCTCAGCAGCAGTAAGAGAAGGCACTTGCCTCTCATTTACTCTAAGGCTTCCTTTATTGCACTTTTGCCTTGCAGAGAAGCCTTGAATTTATGTCCTATTTAATGCCCTTTTCCATGGCCAAAGCAATACAAAAAGAGCTTTAGGGAAAGTGAGAATCAAGCTCAAGGAATGCAGGATCCATCAGAGGGATGTATGCTACAGTCTGCTTTTTCTCATCTACATCATTTTATCAGGTGTTTTGGAGGAAGCTTTTCAAGCATGTTGAGATGGATGCGCTCAAACACTGTCAACAGCAGTTTGTAGATCATTGGGACTACTAGTGTGCCACAGGTATTCTTTCTGCTAAGGAATATTGTAGCAATACATGAAGCTTAAAGATATCTGTAACATTCAGATATTGTAGTTATTTCCAAGTAGGAAATAAATATTTCTATAGATGGGAAGAAGCATTATTAAAAAGAATTTAATATTTTAAAAGATAGAGGGGTCTATGTTTGAGCTCCTAAGTTCATGGAAGGGCACTTAAATAAGAGACCTGACGAGCACTTTCAGCTACATTTGCAGTTGTGCTGCAAGTTGCTCCATGTTTTACAAAATCAGGTCACTAATTTCTGAGTCTGGAAGTTCAACAAAATCAGTTGAAATTTCAGGCAGTCATTTGTGAAGACTTCGGCCTAAACTCTTTGATGAGTGATTTAGAATTCAATCTAGTATTGCCTTAGCTTTACTTTAAGAAGTTTGTTTCTTTTTTTAACTGGCACCCTTCATTCATTCACAACTGATCTTTAATTCACTTCAAATTTATTAGGCCTCATAATAAATTTGCATTTCAAAAATGATGCTTCTTTGATTTAGAGAAGGGTGAGAACTGAAAAATTAAACTTTAGATAGGATTTTTCTCTCTAAACACCATAGTATTAAGATTTTGGTGGATGTAAAGCCAGATTATTTCCTATGTGCTGGCATATCTCTTCTGGTATAAGAACCATATTCCAGAATATGCTACATCTTGACTATAGGTCACCAGATTTAACAAGGGCAAATTAAACAGCTTTTCCCCAGACCTCAGATGACAAATGAACAGCTACAGAGTTTTAAACTGGGTAAAATTCTTCATCAATTCCTCATATGGGAGAACACCAAACTCTTTAATACTAAAGATCTCAGAAAAAACTCCTTACCTCAGAGAAAGACCTTCAGTCCTTTTATATAGGTTCACTTTCACCCTTTTCTTCCACACCCTTGTCTCTAGAACCTTTATTTTCTGTAGAGATTTAGTGTATCTTTACATGGCAGATACTAGTTCTCCCTCTCTGTGTCTTTGTCTTTTCACTTCTCGGTTTACATGTCAGCATTGCTATTACCAGTGTGGTTATGAGAACAGTATTTGTTAACTAACTTGTGCTCTTTCTCCAGCTCCCTTGAACTACCCAAACAAATTGGTAACAAAAAAAAAGATGTTACCATATAAGACACTCATTTGCTCTTTCACTCACCTCAAAGTCTCTTTATGCTGCCTACTGCAGCTGAGAATCAGGGCTTCAACATTTAGGATCTGCTGAACAATACCTTGCAGGGGACAGAAAAATTCAGAGACTGAACCACCTGTCAGTTTTTTTCCCCAAATTAAATCAGTAATGGAACAGGTGTAGAACACAGCAATGAGGTTACCTGTGCTGAATCACAGACATCTGATACAGAAGCCACAGGTGTAAAGAACAAGCAAAACTGTATGTGGAGATCTATCAAGTCAATAGTTAGAAAGTTGTCCAGCATAAAAGAATGTCTCATGTGAAATGCTCAGTATTCACAAGCTAAGTTTTGTAAACTTAAGAAAGCTTAATTTAAATATAGACACAAGTAAAAGCTAAACTAGCAATTTTTCTTTTTTTTTCTTTTTGCATATTTTTGTTAGGTGCTTCTTCTCTGCCTAAAATATAAAGTCCAGAGTGCAGCTGGTGCAAATCCTAGCTATGGATTTCAAGCAAGACAAAGATAGTGTCAGACACTGATCCAACTGAACTAAGGACCCATGTACTTTGGGGGTTGGCTTTGGGGGAAAAATTCTCACACAGATACACAGAAGACAACTAGGGAGAACACCAGCCCAAACACAATAAACCAAAATACAAACCACCAACATATATATGCAGATCAGGAATCAATCTTTCACACTGATCCTACATTCCTTGCATAGCTTTGCATATGCAGAGAATGCGGGATGTGGCCCTTAGATGTTTTTGCAAATGAAGAAGGGAAGATTATTTGCAATGGTAACATTTTAAGTTATTTTGGCATCAGCACAAATTACCAGGGGCAGGATCAGATTCCCACACAAATATGGAAGCTCTCTAGCGAGCAAGGCAGGGATGAGAGAACAATACAGCAGATTAATTCTTGTCCAGTGACCAAAAAGAAGGGAAATCCTAGTTATTACACGCTTTCAAAGCTTTCATTACTTTTTCAAATAAGAAGAAAGAAAAGACTACAAATTCTACCATCCCCCAAACCAAGGGAACATTGCTAGAAAAATCTCTTTCTCAAAAGGAACTGCTCTTCAGCAGAAATAAATTCTGAGATGGAACCAAAAAAAGAAACAACAGAACCCTGGTAAGAGCCAAAAAGAGAACCACGTAATTCAAAAACAAAGTAGCAGTTCAAATGATACTGCAGGATGCACAAACTCCAGTAGATAATCTCACAGATGACTTCACAGAGCCCCTCATCGACCCAGGTAATTCTTGATTCCATTAGAAAAGAGAGAGAGAGAGAATAATACTAGAAAAGAAAATTAAGAAACATCCTTCCTCTTTTTTAAAATAAAAATGAAGATCATCTCCCCTCCCCCCCTCTATCTGGAAGCAGGTTAGCTAACCTTAACAGTCTCAATTTAAAATAAAATATATATTTTTATATATATTCATATATATAATAAAAGAGAAGATATTAGTGGCAGTGTATGCAAAACAAAAAAGAAAACAAAGAAAAATTACTTTTAACAATCTCACTTTTTTGTTTTTTTTGTACACAAATACTGTTGTAAATATATTAAAAAAATCAGCATTCTATCTGGTAAACGTCACTTTTGCCCCTCTATAAAATTTTGAATTAAAAAAGTCCCAAGAACTCTTTTTTTTTTCATTATTATTCCCCTCCCCACCCACCCGCTATTCATCTTTCTTCCACAAGAATAAATCCTGATGCAACTTTTTTTTTTTTTTTTTTTTTGCAAAGATTGGGGGAAATAACCCTTCTCTTGTACCTAGATCCATAGGTTTCAACCTCTGATATCTTTGATTTTCCTCTGTGTTTCTCTTTGCCTTCTGTGAAAGTCCCTCTTGATTGTGCTGAGGCCCTGGGCTCAGCGAAGACACTGAATAAATTACAAAAAAGCCACCGTTGCTCGTTGTCTGAATCTTCTTGGTTTCTGCTGTAAGGTGGTGGTGGTGGTGGTATGGGAAAAGCCGCGGGGAGGGTGCACCAGAGAGCGTGGGATGGAGCAGAATCCAGGTGAGGAACCTCTGATTCTTTTTCCTCACCCCGCAGGGACTCCACACTATCCAAGCCACACTGCCTCGCACTCCCCTCAGCCCTTTCGTGTGTTTGTGGATGCGTGTGTGTGTGAGAAAGCAGACACGTGGTGGAAACCAGCAGGGCCTTGTTTCCTCTGGTTGCTGCTCAACCAGAAGCAAAATATTCCACAGTTCTAACTGGATACTGTGAAGTCCAAAAGCGGTCAGCATTGTGAATTATGTCCATTGAAACACTGCAAGCGGTGTACTTACAACGACAGTAGGCCTTGTAGATTTGTAATATATTGTGTTTTGTTTCTTTTTTTTTTTTGTAGTGCTCTTCACGAGTGAGAAAAAAAGAAATTTTTTTTGTTTTTTTTATTTTTTCTGTCTGTTTTTTTTAAATTTTTTTTGTGGTTTTTTTGTTTGTTTGTTTTTTTGTAGTAAAGAAGGGTTGTATTTAGAGGCCAGTAGCTAGAGATCCAACCAGTGGAGCTCATGAAGCACTACCTGGCCTTAAGGCCACCATCCGAGGAAGGCTGGGAAAATTATTATTCACCCAGCCTCCGGAAATGTAATGTACCAGCAGGCAAAAAACAGTTCTTCATGTAGTACAAAAACAACAAAACGAAACGAACCCAAAAAAAGGAGGAAAATAAAGGTAAAAATGAAACAAAAATCATTTCTTAAATTCTAGTGCCATAGCTTTTTTTCTTGTTTCTATTTTTTTTGTTCATAACAAAGAGAGAGAGAGAGATTCTACTTATCCGTCTGACACATGCATCCTCATGTGGTCGTTGAAATGCTCGATTTGGTCAAACTTAGCTGGACAGACAGAGCAGACGTACGTGGTCCCCTCCGTGCAGGCCACCACCCCGGCAGGGACAGCCCTCGCGCCGGTGCCGGTGGCTCCAGGCGTGCCGTTGGTGGCACTGTGCAGAGCCACATGCCTCTCCAGCAGGGTCTTGTGGGAGAACTTCTTCTTGCAGATGTAGCACTCGTAGGACTTCTCCCCGCGGTGGAGGCGCATGTGCACATTAAGGGAGCTCTTCTGGGTGAAGCGCTTGTTGCAGATACTGCACTGGTATGCCCTCACGCCAGTGTGCGTCACCATGTGTTTGATTAGGTAATCCTTTAACGAGAAGGAGCGCCAACAGATGCTGCATTGGTGGGGTTTCTCACCTGCCCATTACCAATGAAAGAGAGAGAGAGAGAGAGGGAAAGAAAGAAAAACAGACAAAAAAAAAAAGATAATAAAATTAAACCAGCTCGGTACGACTCTGCAATAGACTAATGGTAAGTCTCACGGGGGGTCTTTGGAGAGGTGCTCTGGCTAAGACAGAATAATTCTGTTAATAAGTGTGTTTTGATACACAACTTTTTTTTGCAACCAGAGGTTTCAAAACACTTTACAAAGGGGGCTGTAGGTATTCCCAATCCACATACAGCAAAAAGGAGCTCAGGTGATTTCAAGTTCACATCGTAGGCACTGACAAAGACAGGACTAGAGTTAAAAGGTCCTGGCGTCTACTTCAGCTTCCATGGCACATCTGCTCCTGCCTATGCTCCTTCCTTGCTCCTCGTGCTCATTTCTAGACAGGTCTTAGTCAAGTTAATTTACCTTTCAGTGCCTCCATCTCCCCACTTGTATGCAATAAGTATGGACAAAGTATGTCCAAAAGTATGGACAAAGCTAGTGTTTACTAGATAGATGACCTGCAACACACTCATTTTTGTCAAATTGCTTTAGATTTCTCAGAAGAGAAATGCTAGAGGTTGCCAAAGGAATCCAGTGCTTTACAAGAAGTTTACATTTGTTGACCCTTTTTCTGGTCAAATCTGATAGCTGAAGCATGGATCAGAGTAACTGAAAAGGGAACCTTAGTACACTGAATTGCCTAGGCTAGCCAGTACCGCGCAAAGGGCAACCTAACAGATAAAATTCCAGTGTAACAGACAAGAAACTTAAATTATTTGACTGTCAATTAAATAGAACACCTTATCAGGTAAATCACAGATACAAAATGCTTATGCCATCTACCACATTGCCATGTGCACCCAGGGCTGTTGTTAAACTGATTCTAGCAACTCGTATAAGTGAACTCTGAAGACAACGAGACAAACCAGTGACTACGAGGATGAACTGAAAAAAATATTTAGCTGAGGTCATACAATTGGTTTGTCCAAACTACTCTTAATTCCTCCTCATGCTCAAAGTTCTTCTGGGAGACAATGCCGCAGCCTCACGTTGAACGGTATCATGATATGTTGCTGTATTAATAATGAAGACAATATCCAACATCCTGAATGCCCCATCAAAAGCTGCTTTTTAATTTGTCTTCTGAATCACTTTCGGTATATTTCAGGAGTGGTAATTCATCATCCCCAAAGCTGTCATGGAGAGAGATGGTACCATAGCTCTGTACCAATCAAAACGATCCTCTGTTTCACTGACTGAAAAATTATTTTCCTTTGGTCATTTCGCAATTTCCCCTGTAGCAAAGATCCTTTTTTTCCCCCCACAAACATCCTGTTTCCTCCTTTTTACAATCTATCTGGCACTGTTTTAAATCCTGAAGAGTTAATCCTCAGGGACCATCACATGCCTGTGGTAACATATAATTTACTCTTTGTATAGTGAGATTACAATACGCTATTTGCATTCAATTTTAAGAGTAGATAATTAATATGGATTGGATGGGAAGGACCTACATTTTAATCTCCCCTGAGTCTCTGTTTCTTTTTATTTCACAGTTTGCACATATGACGGTGACATCTCTGTATGAAATACACATGCTGCTCTTGCACCAGCGATGAGTTTGTCCCTACTTGGCGAAAGACGCTTGGTCAAAACACATTAAGTCCTCACTTTCATGCTGGCTTTGTTGAGAGTAGAGGGGCCAACATGCCTGACAGGTGTTGTGTGGAAAATGATAGTGTGCCAGTTACAATAATGTCTGATTAACTTACAAGAGACTGATTATATTTACAATGCTTATTTTTGCCTTAGGCAATATATGTGCCAGAGTTTGTAATAAGTTGGTCTCCTCTGCTCTAGATCCTGTTAAGACTATGCTATAAAAACACCCTAATTTTTGCCTGCACATGTTTCTAAGATACACTGGGTTCTGGCTTTCTAATCTCAGCTTCAAAACCTTCCTGGGACGACTTCTCTCCTAAGAATCTCAAAACTTTTAAGGTTTTCTTTTTCGTATGCAAATTCATGGGCTTCCTAAGTGAGCACTGTAGGTTCTTCATTCCCACAGTTCTTCATCTTGAGTTAGAAAATACTTTGCTTAGTGAACTAAATGTTCATGTTCCTCCTTTTGGTTCTTTATTTGTCTGGTTTTAGACAGCAATGTGGGACAGTTACCAAATATTAATCACAGAAATATACAAGAGGAGGCAATGATGGCTTATAAGGTGCATGGACACTGCATGCATACTAGCACTGAATTTCCACAACATTGCCTGTCTTGGAGAACAACACTGTGTGATACATTAAAGCCAGTCTGCAGGGAACATGGAAAAATATCCATCTCTAGTATGTTTGTGTCCATGTGAAAGAAGAAAGGGAGGTATAAAGGGTTCCTATTGCATGGAAAGCTACATCAGAGTGTAGTTTTCAGAAGCATAAAAACATACAGAGATTAGAAGGCCTTTAGGTTGTTGAATTCTGGTTTATGATTAGACTCCTCCATGGCTTCTCTTGTGAGCCCTCCAAACAGCAAGACTAATTAAAACTCCCATCTCCCAAATCTTTCCCTTTTTCTGTGCATCTTTTTCAGAGCCACTTTGCCTGGTTTATTTTAACAGGGCTGAGGAAAATCACTCTGACAGTGGGAACAGCTGTCTCCTCTCAGTTTTCATAATGATCCTGTCCAGCACTAGACTAGGTAGCAGACATGCTTCCTCTGAGGCTGTACATATAAAGGTTATTTTCAGAAGAGTTTTCTGAAGCCCTGCCCTCTGTTGGTTAAGGCGCAATTATTCTCCCAGACACTCCAGAAGTCATTTTGTTTCTAAATTAACTTTGAAATAATTTATCTACCCAAATCTCTCCTTGCCACCATAGTTCATTATTTTGGGCATTTTCAGACCCACACAAATGAAGTATTAATTCATGACTGGAGATGCTGATCAATTTCCTTGGTTGATTCTATGTGTAGTAGCTAGGAAAATTTTAGGTCAGGTCTTCCAATATTATTCTTTATCTGACTCGAATGCAGTGCACAGTTGGGGGAGGGGGAAATAAAGCACCTAATCTCAGTGAAGTTATTTGTGAAAAAGCCTTTCTAGCTTTTAGAACAAGGATACAGACAGATATATGTGACTGTCAATATCTACATAGACAATATCTACGTAGTATTTTAGCTACTCATCCACAAGAGTAAGATGGAGAACATAGACACAGAGGGTAGTCTTGGGATTCAGGATTCTTGATCCTTGCAATCATACATTTTGTACCAGTCCTGAGAGGTTGACCTTTTTGTGTATGTACATGGACATATATGCCCTAGATATCTAAAGGAATTTTTAATTTAAGTAATAATGACAAGTGAATAGAAGTTAAAAGTTGACATATGCACATGGAAGAGAAATCTATTGGATACAATGGGGAGGCATGACTTACATTCCTCCCATGCCTTGGGCAATTTCTCCAGGTTCTACTCCATGTATCACAAACTCAGCATTTATTTTAAGATCTGACGTTAACAAAACCACTGCTTGGTGAGAGAAATATTTACTCTTTCTCTAAACTATAATTTCTCTCCAACGTCAGAATGAGATGAGGGCTAAAGCAAGAAAAATTTAGTCCTGAACCCAGGATAGCTTTTCCATGTAAGATATATGTATCTCCTTGCTTTAAAGTCTCTGAAGTAGACCAAGTTAGAAAAGGCAGTTTTGGCTCAGTAGTAAATATGGTTACCTATACCATCTCAAAAGACCATATACTAAAGTAGTTGCATTTTTAAACAAAAAGGGTGCTGATGTTGTGTTCTACATACATTAATTATTTTATTTTTTTCTCATTGGGCCCTATGTTTCTGTACTCAAAGCTAGTGAAACATCTGACTTACCAGGAGACAGGGAATTACAGCGATTGGCTTCAGTGAAGTACAGAAAAACTCCCTGAAAAAACTCCAAATTTACTTTCTTAAAGGAACAAGTGAGATTTAGAAAATATGTGGCAATGTGTGTAACACCCAGGCCTGGACCTATTGCTGCAATTCCACAAGGAATGAACTTGCCCCAGACTCATGCCAATCATCATCACTTGAGCTTAAACCCCCGTAGCTGTAAAACTTACAGGGGGATGCCTTTCTTGGTAGATACAGTTTTTCTTTAATGACTTATTACAGTTTCCTCATGCCACTTCAACTTAATGTTGCCTGGTCAGCTTGCAGGGGACAACAAATGCTTACCATTTCCTTGGATGAGTGCAGGACACATTTTACCCCAAGTAAAATGACCTTGTTTCTGCACCATGCAGCGTCAGGCCCCTATAAGGGACCTACATGTTTCTGCAGGGGCTCAACTTCAATGCAGTAAGCTTGGAAAGTGTTCAGTGACACCAGCTACCTGGATAACCTCTCCCTCCTGTTTGTGCTGGGGGCTGGCAGGGTGGGAAACAGAATCTAAGTCCTTGTTTGTCAAGGACTTTCTCTGGCTTCATGTATAAGCCAAAGGGACGTACTCTTACCTGTGTGTACAAACATGTGCTTGACGTAGTTCTGTTTGGCGGTGAAAGTCTTGTTACACAGAGTGCACTCGTAAGGCTTTTTTTCACCTTGCCCACCTGCTGTGCTGTGGCCCGCAGATGGGGCCAAGGGCTGTGGCGCTGGCAGCTGGGCAGTAAAGGTTGACAGGCCAGGTTGGGTCACTGTCACAAACTGTGTCTGTTGGCCAGCTAAAGGCTGGGGCAAGCTGAAGAGAAAAGGCTTAGGGCCACTGCCAGCAGACTGTGTGGTGAAAAGGGCAGGCAGGTAGGTGTTGCCAGCTGTGCCAATGACCTGAGTGTTGCTGGTCAGAGTCAGTGGCATCCTCAGATTGCTGGTGACGGTTTCTGTCTGGCGTAAGTAGATCTGTGTGGTTGGCAATGGTTGGGCAACAGTTGTGTTGACAGAAGGCTGCAAAGCCCCCTTTTCGGTGCTGTTATTGACTGTGAGCACTTTGCTGTCCATTTCAACGTCATTGCTTCTCTCTGGTGAGGAAGAGTTGGCATCTACATGCTGCTGCTGCTGTTGCTGCTGCTGCGGCTGAGTGCCATCAGCAGGGATGTCATTTTGATCTGTTTGAGAAGGTTCTTGCTGTCCATCCCGGCTCAGACCAGCCATAAACTGCTGCTCCATGGAATCGGGCTCAGTGCCAATGGAGGAACTGACTCCCGAGTCAAAACTCTCCCCTTTGGGCTCACTCTCAGTGCCTTCTGCTTGGTCAGTGTCCTCAGTGCATTCCTCAGACTCATTGCGCTCAAGGATCTGCACCCTCTGTTGGCCATAGTAGTCATAGTCATCCTCCATCTCCTGCTTAATATGGATGTTGCCCATCAGGGTTTGAATTCGGACAGGGCGTGGTTGCTTGCGGCAGTGTGTGGTCTCTGGAGTGGTGGAGAGGTACCGCTCCATCTGTTGTGACCGTTCGTGAATCCGGGTAATCCAGCTGGGGTCTTCCATGTGATGGTCCCTGGGGAGCCCCAGGGCTGTTTCATGGTGGCTGACCACAGCTCCACTGTAAAAGGAGCGCTCCCCACTGCCATTTTGCATGGAACAGGCATAGAGGGCCGAATAGATCCTGTCCACACTGTGCTGTGAATGGCTCTGCAGGTAGCCAGACTCTGTGTCGGTGCTCTGCCCCGAGGTGCCTGATTCAGGTGTTCCCCTGGGTGTCTCCTGGCCAGAATCCTGAATCACCGGGTAGACCTCGCCCACGTTTTGTGAGACAATTCTTGTGCACTCATCAATCACAGTCTTGATCTGCAGGATGCTGGCAGCTGTGAGAATTTGGAGGGCCTCTGACTGTGAGACTCGCAGCACCCCACTGTACATGAAGTCAATGAGCTTTTGCACAGACTGGACTGATACCACCGAGGGGATCTCGATGTCGCTGTAGCCCAGCAGCAGCTTGTCCTGGAAGAAGGGGCTGCCAGCCGCCAGCACACAACGGTGGGCGCGTAGCATGCTCCCGTGGATGCGGACCGTCACGTCACAGAAGTGGCCACGGTTGCGCTGCTCGTTGAGGGTCTCGAGCACGGAATTGCTGAAGTTGTGAAGGTTGATGCTATGAATGCGCTCTGTCATCCCCTTGCAACTGATGTTACCTGTAGCAAAACAGGTGATGGAAACAAAAAAAAGACCAGATTGAGTCTTGTCCTCTGCAGAGCCACAGTCAGGGCACTGGGGAAGGTAACTGCTCACTCAGTAAACAAAACGGATTATACTGTAAAAATCACATACAAAAGCACTGATAAGAAGACGTCATCTCTGTCAGGCTAGAAGTAAACTGTGCTACTCATTTGCAGAAGCTCAAGTCCTGAATTTTTGGAGAAAACCAGACAAAGACAGGTGTAAGCTGGGCCTGAATTCCAACCACATTCCTGGTCCTCAGACTTCCTAGCAGTTTATCTGGCTTTAAAAAGCCTACAGCCAGCCAATTGTAAACACTGAGCACATGGAGTAAAGCTGGATTTTAGGCTGTTCAGATTTGGACCCATGCCAGAAAAGATGAGGTTCTTACTTTAATGACCCTTTACACCAAGCTGTTAACACAAAGAGTCTATATGAAAATGTGATTTCTATCTAGATTGGTATTTTAAGAAATTTGGACCCTGTGTTTTACAGTACAGTTACTTGTATCAAAAAAACTGGCAGTCACTTTGTAAAATCCAATTTAGGCTGTAAATGTTCCTAAAAACCCATGCACAGTTTTGTCTGGGGTTGCGGTTTAGAACATTTGCTACCCAATAGTGACAAACAGTCCTCTGTAAGAATCCAAAGCAAAAAGTTACCATGAGCTGTCCCCTTCATTTTTAGCATATCCCAAGTTCTGACTGGCACCAGAATGCCATCATATAAAAACAAATGTTCTCCTGCTGTTATTTACTTGACAGAAACTGGAAAATTACAGACATTTACTCTAAGGAAGACTTTGTCTTAGTTTGGCTGAATAATCTAAATAGAGAACAGTTTAGGAAAGCACCTAACCAGTTTGGGTACAGAGCCAACATATCCTTCAAAATTAACTTTTACAAATGACTAAAAAGTAACTTCTTAATCTCTCAATCCAGTTTTCCCTATCTCCATCTTGCTTGCTTTGCTTTTAATGCTTTTTTCTTTCCTTTCCTGTTCTCTACTGATTTTTAATCTATTTAGATTTTGATGGGAAGAAACTATGGGTTCACCTTTTAACTATGAAGAACCGACTGCCCTTTGAGTGGTAAACAAATAAAACATTATTAATAATTCTTTTCTCTTAGCATTTGTAGTACATGCATCACCTTGGTTCCCAGAAAAGTGCACAGAGAAAAGTAATACAAAATCACCACTAGTAACACAGGCATTTTGTCTTGAATATTCCTTGTTAATGAGTGAGAATCCAAAAGTGAAGATAAGCATGAGCAAATTAAACTAGCTTATTGTCACTCTCTGTTTAGACAGAAACATATGGAACAAATAAAAGGCATTGAAAGTGGTTGCATATGCATGTCTTTTATCCCAACAGCGTTCCTCTGCTCCAGCCTAAAGGATGCTCTACATCTCATACATAGGCAGTACAACACTACTCACTGCCATTGGCAGGAAAATGTGGCAGCTTCTCTGTTCCACCTTTTCCTTCTCATTTATCCACTCCTGACATCTCAAGTGCCCTCTGTTCTGGTGGTTCGAAGAGAAACCACCTTGGACACAGGTGGTTATTTTAATTCTCTGAAGTAGTTGAATGATAAAAGGGAAGCACAAAGGTCAGGAACTGTAAAACCTGATGGGGCCAAGCTGTCTGAAGAAGTCTGATGTTAACAGATGTAAACCAGCCAGTATCAGAAGGGAGCTAACTTCCATGTGAGATTAGAGCACTGGGGGGATGCTCGCACAACAGAAACAAGGAGGAAACCACTAACAGTACCATGGAGGTTGTGAATTACATCTGCCTTGTTCATAAGCACTGCCGGGAAACCCGAGTTTCCTCCTCTGACAAGACTGATCATAGGACTGGAAAAACATCTCAGAAACCAGGAGACTTTTCTTCAAGGGCACTACAACTATTATTACACAAAATAATATACAGAAGAGATGTATTCTCTCCTCATTCCAGATAGAGTCGTTCTCCAGAGGCTTCCAGGGCAGTTTCAGATGCTTCCCTTCCCAACATGTCAGATCACACAAGAATTGTATTCACATAAAAAGTCAGAATCCTTGATCTGAAAGAAAGAGAACTTAGTAAAACCTTTGTCCTGGTAAACAGAAGGGTGGAAAATTAAAGATAAATAGATGACACCTCTTTTCAAGACCTACTGTAGGCCATGGCGAGTTCTTGCATAGCCACCCATTTATCCGCATCTCCCTTTGAGTGGTTGCCTATCAGAATGCCAGGAATCTTTCCATCAATAAGTATCAATCACTACTTGGTCTGACCCTAGGGCTCCCTTTTCATGCAAACATGTCTTTCGGATGTGCTGCTGGAAAAGGGAATGACCTCTAGTCTGCTTTGTAAAATGAAGTATTTGACGATAAGAAGAAATATGCAGCAGTCTAACTCAGTAAACCAAAAAACCTGCCTTACACATGCACGAAGTGGAATATTCCACACATACCATAGATGTTATGGACAGGTCTCTTGACTTGAGCAGGGGCAAAGAAATCTACTTTTTCCTATGCAACTTGGCAGATAAAATGGATTTTGTGATTGGAACTCTGAAAAATGCATCCTCAGCACAACTCCTTTCCAGAAAGTTGTGATCTGCAACACAAGACTGGATGACTTCTTGGGAAAGTGAATGCTGCCACTTATCCACAAATCACGTGCAGAAAGGAGGAAGGGCAAGGTTCATCTTTAAGTTTCAGCAGCCTTTCTCAGGTCCTGGCTGTAGGAAGCAAGAGTTGTGTAGCCACAATGTATTTGGTCATTAGTTAATTTGATGGTAACAGTCAGCTAGGGTTAATCAAGACTCAAGAGTTTGGCATGCATTAATGAGAGTGATGTGAATAGCCCTCGAACAGGAACTGATCTAGGATGCATCCTGAGGTGTAGGAGCTGGTCTGAAAGTCATTTGAGTCACTTCATAAAAGGCATGGAGTATGTTTTGCTTACTATTGGTATGAGTTTTCCCCTAAAAAAATCCTCTCCTCATTTCTTTACTTCTTCAGACAAGTTTGAACATTTACTACTTCTTCAACTGAGAAACAACTGAAATTCACCCCTTAAGGTTAAAACAAGAGGGGTGGGTGGAAGACACATGTAACAAATGGTCAAAAAAGCTAAATACAGATTTTGAAGATGTTTCTTCTAGGCCACCTTCCTGGACATTCAACACTGAACACTGTATCTATCCAAACTACAGGCAACCAAATAGTGTCAGAGATGCTATCACACAAATCACAGCAGTACAGAAGAGCAGCTTTAACAAGTTCCAGAGACTGGTCTGTAGCAAAACGCGCTGCCCCACGCAGCTCCTCTCCCTCTCTGCAGGAAACTTGTGTCCAGACCCAAGTTTTGTGGTTGACCCTTACTGTATGCTGATCTAAGGTAAAAGTCCAAAGGGGATGCTCCCCACAAAAAGTGAACTTGCCAATGCAGGTTTGATTCTAAAGTAAACGCCACATTCTGACAAAGGCTACTAGAGCCTTGGACAAGTCAGAAAGTGTGTCAGCTCTTCACAAGACCCGGCTACACACGCGCACACTCACCTACTCATCACTGCACAGAATGCCTGGCTCAGGAAAAAGACTGCTGTCCCAGGCTCTTCTCAGGCCTGCCACTCTTTTAAACTCGAGACAGTGGGAACCTTTCTGTGAAACTCAAGTGGTCTTTGTTAAGTGCCCCCCCTGCCTTTTTTTTCGTCCAGTAAACATGATGTAGAGATCCCAAAGGACTTATTCTGAGAAACTCCTGTAAAATGGTTTTGTCCCCTTTCTGTGAAGCAAGTTCTGATTGGAGGGGTATTCACAAACCATATAGGAAAGAATGGGTGTGAAAATGCAAAGGCCATTCTTACCCAGATGGGTAATGAATAGGCGTTTGCCAGTTGGGAAAAAAAAAAATAAAATAAAAAAGGCAGGAAAAAAGAAAAGAAAAAAAAGCCCAGACAACTGCACAGATTATGCACATTTGCAATCCTCCTGGGATGCAATTTGAAGCTGGCATGGCATAAAGGTGAAACATATTACTGTGCAACTTTGAAAAAAGCTCCGTTTGCCCATATGCAAATGTACCGATTAAACTGTCAGGCTATTCACAGAAACACGCATGGAATTCATCCTCAGCTAGTAAGAAGGAGCACAACGTGGATGGGAAAGGAAAAAACTTTTGTTGTGTAATACATGACTGAGTGCTTAGATTAGTGTTTTCTTGAATCTCATCCACCCCTCCCGCTGACTTTTATGCTACTGGCATTCAAAAGAAAGTAGATTTTACCATGACAATAACAACGACAACCTCTCCCAGTACAGTACCAAAGGGGGAGGCAATGGCAGAAGGAAACGCAGTCGGTGGACTCTTGGAAGTTGCTATAGAAAATGTGAAAGTGCATCAGTGAGGCACCTCAAGCATGGTTTGAAGGCAGTTTTCTATTTTCCAAAGCTGCCATACATAGACCTACATAAAGCTAGAAAGGTATGGCTCACAAAGGTGACTTCTTTTGTTTGCCAAAAGCATAAAAAAAAATGATCCCAGCAAGCACATGATGTAGTAGAGCTACAAAGATGTATGGAATACTGCAGACTGCAGGGCACACACAAATGGCTGTGATGTACCTCTTACAATATATTTAGTAAGGTTTTTTTTGTGCAGCCACTAGATGTCCCTTTCTGCAAAGCCAATGTGTACAGCTTCAACGCTCACAACTGAAAGATCTCACAGAATCTGATTTTCTCCAGTGTCCTTTAAAATCACAGTACCTCAAAGATCATTGCACAGTAATGACTACCATTTCTAGTGATGATGAAACCACCACAGCTACTGTAACAGCAGTAGCTCAGTGCATAGCCTTCACCTGAAGGAAAACCACCTAGGATGCTGGGATCCAAACTCTTTATGGAAACTTACTGTGTGGTCTTCCACAGGAATAAGGAGCAGAGTGAACCCCAAAGGCTCTGTCTTGCTTTCATA